CAGTGAGTGCAGGCAGAGTCCTGGCGGTGGTCAGTGAGTGCAGGCAGAGTCCTGGCGGTGGTCAGTGAGTGCAGGCAGAGTGCGGGCGGTGGTCAGTGAGTGCAGGTGGTGTTCATTGAGTCCGGGCGGGCGGTGGTCAGTGAGTGCAGGCAGAGTGCGGACGGTGGTCAGTGAGTGCAGGCAGAGTGCGGACGGTGGTCAGTGAGTGCAGGCAGAGTGCGGGCGGTGGTCATTGAGTCCGGGCGGTGGTCAGTGAGTGCAAGAAGATTCGGGCGGTGGTCAGTGAGTGCGGGCGGTGGTCAGTGAGTGCGGGCAGAGTGCGGACGGTGGTCAGTGAGTATATCCTAAGTGTAAGGATTTTCCAGCCTAATTGAAGACATGTTATAACTAGAAGTTCCAGTTGGTATACACAATTTGTGAATATATACGCAGTCCTCTGTGATATACTGATTTTATTCACTTTGTTTTATTCCCTATGAAAGCTCCCAGTAGTCGGTGTTCTGTGCCAACTATAGTATAATCATCAGATCCGCTTTCTGTGACAGAGTTCAGCTGACAGTAATCTGAGATCCAGAGAACTTGGATATCTGTAAATGTTTCATTAAGAGTTCTATAGGTCATGTGGCAATGTCCTCAACACAGCAGCCTCAGCCTGTATCCATTGTCTCCACACAACCCACATTCTTTTTAAAGTGCATTTAAACACAAAAAAGAAAAAATATTCTCTATATAATCAGTGCTTGGATGTGGTGGCTGCATTTCTTTTTTTTTTTTTTTCCTAGTATTCCTGCCAGTAATGCACTTCCTATTCTGGAGTGACAACACTCAATGTACTGTATGTATAGAGGGGCAGTGTTGTCACTCTAGGCTGCTCTGGATGACAGTTACCACCCTCTCTGTCTGCACCTTCATTACATAGGGAGGAGGGGTTGTGTATTCCACAGGAAATTTGAGCACAGAAACTTACAAGGTTATGGGAATCCTATCTGGATCAACAGTCTTTTTGAACACATGTACAGCACATAGCATGAAAAAGGATAACTAATGCAGCCCACCACAGCTAAGGACTGGTAAGCTGCAGAACATTTTTGTTTTTGTCTAGGTACTTTAATTCTTCTGTTTGTAACTTAAAATAGAAGGAAAGGCTAATCTACTTTTAAACATCGCCCCCCATTGTGCCAAATATCTTTTCTAAGAAATTGCAATTACAATACCTTTTTTTTCTTTATCTTTTATCTATGAGAGGCAAAACTCCACCGCAGCCTTAAGTATCGTGACAGCTGTACTATCCAGCATAGACAAAAGTATAGATCTACATGTAAAGTGCAGCGCTGAATATGAAATAATTGAAGGTAACATATATCACCAGTGCAAATTGGATAATGTAAATTTCTCAATCTAACATATATGCAAAAATAGTCAATATGTAGCTAAGTGGTTTGATGAACAAATATAAATCCATCCAAAAAAAAAAATCAAAGTGACAGAAAAAGTAAATGTGGGTAAACAAGCAATGTATCCGTGGCACTACAAGACACAGCAGTATCGTCTTCAATTCCAAACATTCCAGGTGCTGTGAAATCCAGTGTACCACCACTATGCACTCACCAGAAAGCTACTGGTATAGTAGCAATGATCCTGATCCGTCAAATAGAGACTCGGAATCTTTAACCCAAAGGCCGCCTCCTAATCCCTGGTTCACATATATGCGGCCGACCTCGGTTCCCACTACGGTTGTGATTTCCAGTGCAGGCGACATGCCATTAGAACTATGCGGGTCCGCATTCCTCTGTGCGGGTGGTGCGACTGCACAGATTTTCATGCGGATCCGCAGCGGCACCACCCGCACAGATGTGAACCTAGCCTCACCCCTGGTTCATATATGTGCGGCCGCGTTTTGCGCGGGCATGAGAGCCCATTCATTTGAATTTACTTCCGTGCCCCGGGACACGCACAGAAGAAGTCCCTGCACTTCTGCTGAAAACACAGCCCACACGGGAACCTCGGTTCCTAGTATTGTTGCGTTTTCCACTGCAGGCAGCATGCCATTAGAACTAATGGCACCCGCCCGCGGGTCCGCATTCCTCTGTGTGGGTGGTGCAGCTGCACGGATTTTCATGCGGATCCACAACGACACCACCCGCACATATGTGAACCTAGCCTTAGGAAGAAAGCTCACCACAGGAGCCCAGAAATCGATATAAAGTGTAGTACTTTATTTAAAATAGATAAAAAAAACAATCAACGTGGAAGACTGGATAAAATTGTGTAAACACACATACCAAGATGGCCGCCGCTCCTAGTCATGGACGCGGCGGTGTGACATCAGCACGTAGGCTCCACCTAGCACTGACACTGGGCAGGAAGGGGTTAACATATGGGGTGATAAAAGGGTTAACTGTGTGCTGTGTTTTACTGTATGTGCTGTGTATGTTTTTCTAGGGAAACATGCTGCTGTGTATTTCTCTGCTGTGCACAGAAGAACACAGCAGCATGTTACTGCTGGCAGGAGAGAGATCTGTATTGTTTACACACAAAGATTAGCATGCAATTTGAACAGGAATGCGAATCCTGTCTAAATCCCATGCGGTTTCCCCACTGCTCCTGTATGAAGCCAGGCTTGTTGTTGCCCAAGTTCACACTGGAAACCTCCCTGCTGGCGTCCCATGCTGAGTCCCTCTCTGAGTGGTAGGAGAGGAGAGAAAGCGGCTACAGGGCTTTTGATTGGTCAGCTCCATCACATGGACTGTGCTGACCCATCAGATGCCTTCTAGCCCAAACTGTCATTGCAAGAAGAGGAAAGAAAGTGGCAGGGATTATAAATCCCTGCTGCTTTCTCTCCTCTCCTACCACTGGCACTCAGCACGGGATGCCTGCAGGGAGGTTTCCCGCAACGCTCCTGTGTGAAATCGGGCTATGACAAACCTGGATTCATCACACAGTAGAAGTGGGAAAATCGTATGGGATTTGGACATGAATCGCATTCCTTTTCAAATCGCATGCTATTCTTTGAGGTGCAATATGCATCCATTAACACAAATTGCACCACAAAGTATCAATAATCCGTATCAGAGAGTACCAGTATCAGTACAAAACGGCACCAGTGCATCCCTAGTGGGATCCTCTTAAAATCCCCCCTCAGGGCATCCCATCAATCTAAACATTGCAATATACTACCCTCTTTTAAAAATTGAAAAGAGGTGAGTCAAAAGCAGGATTTTCAATATATCACAGAGAGAATTACATAGTTAAAACATGATAAAAATAAAATCACACAATCAGACTGGCACATAGATTTGACAAATGGTGTAATGCAGGCCTTGAAATTTCCACTCGCCAGCTCGCATTGGCGATTGGAAATGATGTGGGCTAGTGTGTCCCTAGGACCATCTTGCTGAGCAGGCTCGAAGCTCCAGCCGGATCTGTCATTGGCACTGGGAGCCGTCAGACTGCTCAATAGTTGAGCAAAGTGAAAGCAAAGGAAGGAGTGTGTGCTGTGCTCTCTGCCTCCCCCTAGAGTGAAGTACCCGGCTCTGTGAGTGAACAGCGAAGTACTGCAACTTTTTATAGGGGTGTGTGTGTACGTGTATCTGTGTGTGTGTGTACATGTATCTGTGTGTGTGTGTACATGTGTCTGCGTGTGTGTGCGTGTACATGTGTGTTTGTGTGTGTGTGTACATGTATCTGTGTATGTATGTATATGTGTCTGTGCGTGTGTATTTTTGTGTATGTACATGTGTCTGTGTGTATGTATATATGTCTGTACATGTGTCTGTGTGTATACATGTGGCTGTGTGTGTGTGTGTGTGTGTGTGTGTGTGTGTGTGCATGTGTATCTGTGCATGAGTGTACATGTTTCTGTGTGTGTATGTACATGTCTGTGTGTGTGTGTACACTCTGTTTGTGTGTGTATGTACATATGTCTGTATGTAAACCTACATGTATGGGTGGTTTGGTCAGGTTCAGGATGATGTGATTATAATGGGTGGTAGAGTATGGGGCATTTGAGGTCCTGCTGGGTTGGATAGAAGGTAGGATATTCTTGGTAGAGTTATGTTTTGGTGTGTGAAAGATTATGGGGGGTTATGGTTGTATGCGGTGCATGGTCTAAGTATGATGGAGTGTTTAGGGGAACATTGGAGGCCCTGATGTAATGTGGGGGGACTCTGGGGACCCTGATGTAATGTGGGGGGACTCTGGGGGCCCTGATGTAATGTGGGTAACATTTAACAGTGTAATTTCATGAAATAATTTACGAGGGCGTGTTTAGGGGTGGAATTAGGGGCGTAGCAGGGTAGGGGTTGGGTGGGGCAACTGGTGGCGAGTAACTCTTAAGGCCTGACTAGTAGCTCAGGACTTGAAATTTTAAGCCCTGGTGTAAGTGCATTTTGCAGTAACACTTATGTCTTCGGGGTTCACATATTTTGGATGCATCCAATATATCTCTAAGAATATAACAAAAATACATCAACAACCAGCAAAAAAAATAAAATTAAAAAATATATACAGATAATCAAAAATACGACATTACAAACTGGATTATAGTGATCCCAACAAATGAGAAGGGAAAAAAAAAAGGGGGGAGGGGAATACACATACCTTCTAATGAGCCACCTACCTGAATATATAACGCCAGCAGACATGCCGCTATGCTATAATAGAGCTCATCACCTTTCCTGCAGTTTGTGGACATGGCCAGGAGGAGCCCTGATGGAGGTGGACAATACCCCATACAGACCACACAGTTCAGCAGAAGGATTGCAGCACTGAGTAGTTGCTTTCTGTTTTATTTCTTTGGTATAAACATTTATAAACTGGTGCTTAATAGTAATAAAAGTGATCTGCAGAGCATTGGGGAGGGCCAAAGGGAGCGCCATACTAGCAAACTCATCTCAACCCTGGAGTGGCCAACAGAATCACCCAGTATTAAATGTTCACTACTGAACTAAATTTACAGTTTTCTTCATTTCTCATTTTGTGTAGATGTTTAGGTCTGTCTAATGATGGAGAATCACGTGTTTGAGTCCGTGGAGGAAAGGACCTTCCAGTACCAAGGAGTCTCTGCCTCCCCTCCCCGTCCCTTCACTGGAAGAGTCCTTGTCCAAGTACTGTGAGTCAGGTAGGCACTCCTGGTTTCTGAGTATGTTCCAGATAATATATTGCAGTATATCTTAAAGTGATATTAAAGCCAATTTAATAAATAAATAAACATATCTTACCTGCTCTGTAATAATTTTCCACAGTGCAGCCCCGATCCTTCTCTTCTCAGGTCCCCCGTTGGTGCTTCTGGCCCCGCCCTCCTGCTCGGTGCCCCCAGAGCAAGCAGCTTGCTATGGGGGAACCAAGCAGGCTTGCTCCCAAGGTTCTGCTCTGCGTGTCCATTCACACACAGAGTCGCAGCTTAGCCCCACCCCATCTCTCTCTGGCTCACTAGCTGCTGCACATAGGTTTTTTACCTTCTTGCATAGAATGCATGAAGGTAAAAAACTGAGCCTTTACAACCACTTTCGTTATTATAGCAGCAGTGGACCAGTTTATAACTCCGGAGTTAAAAAATCCAATCTTGTGTTTTCTTAGGAGTCAGAAGCACCAGCTTTAATGGACAAGAGTATGATTAAAGGTGAATTACAAGTGTTTGCATAGTTGCATCGGTTCCAGCTTGGACCAATGTACATATGCATGTGCCATACCTGTGGGGATACCTGTGGAAGCTGGATTATTGTAGTAGGCACTGCATCTAGTCATCACTGTTAGCTTCTGGATCCCATGCCGAATGTCTGTCCTGCTGCTTTGTAAACACTGGAAAATGCTTGCTCTGCACGGACGCCATTCAGGGAACACTTTGCATGTTTTCAGTGAATGGAAAGCATTCTCTGATTGGAAGCGATGGAGAGGCGGGGAGGTGAGGTCATGATCTCTACTGTGTCGACACGCAACACGTTTTTGGTGTGGTTCCATTGAAGTCTATTATACCAAAAATGCAATCTGCTGCAGGGGGAAAAGTCCCTGATCCTTTCAAAATCATAGCGGCTGAAAATGTCCCATAGGAAACATGTTAAATGGACTGCAGTGTGTTTTTGCAAATCACACTAAACGTAGGCGTGAACCAGGCCTCCAGGGGAATTGGTCAGGTATAGCACATACATATTTATTAATGTTACTATGCAAAAAATATGCATACCTGGAATTCACGTTTAACAAAGATTCCAGAGCAGCTGTAACCTTTTTAGGTTCCTCCCCCATTATATGCCGCAGGAGTTTAACCTCCCTGGCGGTAATCCCAAGTGTAGCTCGGGGTTAATTTTCAGTACCAAAAGCTGTGACCCCGAGCAACACTCGGGATTACACCGTAGTGTGTGTGTGTAGTGTAATTTACCTTGTCCCTGTGATCCCCTGATGTCCTCCCACTATGTCCTCCGGCCAACGCCGGCACACGTCCTCCTGGTTCCCTTCCCTGCGAGCTCGTGACGTTTATAAAAAAAAAAAAAAAGTAAAAACACGACATACACACAATACATTGTAATCTGTTAGGATTACATTACTGTATCAAACCATTTCACCTAAATGTTGTCCCCAGTGTTTTGTCCTGTGCCCTGCCTGCACTCTTACCGTTCTTTCTGCCTGGAAACTTGAGAACGTCCATGGCATCCAAAAAGGATCCGTTTAGGTCAAAAGCGGTTTTAGACCAGCTAGAGAACAGAGTTAGTGAATTAGAATCACTTGCAGAATTGAGCGATAATGATTCGTGGGGAAACTAGTCATCAGACACTGAAATTTCCATGCAAAACAATGTACCACTTTGACATTCAAAAATATTGACATAATCAGACCGCCAGGGAGGTTAATCTGCAAGTAAATGTGGAGAATGTTATAAAGTAATATGAAATAAAAAGAAAAATACTAATTTCCTGAATACTATTATTACAGGTATTAACAGCATACAGGTATCAGAATACACTATGGGGATGATTTACTAAAACTGGAGAGTGCAAAATCTGGTGCAGCTGTGCATGGCAGCCAATCAGCTTGTTCAATGAAAGTGATATTAAACCTTTGTTTTTTGTTTTGAATTCTCCTCTTCAGTGGGTGCCCCCCATGGAATGCCTGAGCAGGCTCGCTCCCGAGCCGCCCTGTCTGTGTCCATTGACAGAGAACAGGTGGCTTTCAGGGATCAGGTAAGAATGAGGGGGGGGGGCTCGGGGGGGAGCTGCAGCACAGAAAGTTTTTCACCTTATTGCATACCTAGATTGCATTACGATGCAAAAACCTTAAGGCTTTAGAACCACTTTAAGCTTTGACAAAAAAATTCTGGAATCTGATTGGTGTCTGCACCAGATTTTGCACTCTCCAGTTTTAGTAAATCAACCCCGATGTTTAGCAATAGTGATCTCAAAAGCCTGTGTACATTAACCCGAAAAGGTACAGAGTGAACTATGTTGGGCAAAATTATTTCACAGTAATTTCCTTTATAAAATCTGTTTACAGTAGCAGTGGTCGGCTCTTGTTGGCTCTTGAATATTGTCTTTTCTTTCTCTATGCAGTTAAACCTTTTTTAAATGAACAAGAATATGAGAAGACTTGTAAAATTGTAAATAATTTTGAAAACGGAATCGGCCAAGGGCTACATCAAAAACTATTAGAAAGGGCTAAAACAAGAAAGAACTGGGTGAGTACTTGTGTTGTAATATCAATGACCGCATGCTATCTAAGTTTAACCACTTCTCTGACAGGCTGCTCTGATTCTCTGATTGGCTGCTTGTGCTGCTTCTTCCTCCCACCCTCCAGCCCTGGCTGTACAGGCAGGGCTGCTGTTAGAAAACTTGGGGCCCCATACAGCCAACCTGACAGGGCCCCCTCACAAAAGAACATTTACTAAGCTTCAATTATGAACACAACGAGTGATCGCTAACGATTACTGCTTGTGTCCTTTCAGGAAAGGAGGGGGCTGGTAAATATGACATATTTACCGGATCCTTTCCCCACTCTCCATCCTGAAGGATCGTATTGTGTTCATGCAGCTGTCAATGGGAAGGAGAGGAGGGAAGCTTGCAGCGCTGCACGGGTAGGGGAGCACAAAGGTGGGCCTGGACAGCAGGGGAAAACGTATGGTGCACAGGGAGGGTTATGTGTGCGGTGGGGGCAACTACTGGAACAGATCCCCTGTATTTTTTTATATGGAGTCTCTCTTCCCATCATATTATATGCACAATTCATGATGATGAATTGTGCTTTTCTTCAGCATTCTTTATTACCGCCGGTAAAATGGCCGCACCAAGGGAGACTGTTTTTCAATTAAGGATCACATATACGATGCACGACAAAATGGCGCCAATGATCCGCGCATGCGCTGTAAGTCGGCAAGATGGCGCCGATAGCCGGCAAGATGGCGGGCACTTCAAATCGATTTTGCCACTGCAGAATATAAATAGCACTAACACAGATGCCCATCCTGTAAGCCCTTATCCCTATGACTATGTGCATCGCACAAAACGCGTCAGGGGGGCAGCAGCAACTGGACATCTAACCACAGCATACCCTGAATACATGGTCAGTAATTTTTGGAACTTTTTGAAAATCTGATATTTACCATTGCACCCATTATCCTTGAATAAAAAAGGTACCATAAGCAATATCACGCTATGTGGTCTCTTATTGGGCACTCTGTGTGAGTGTCATCATTCACAGTGCCCATTTGGAGGAAAGATGACCCTGATGGTGATACCTGGTAGCGGTTTCTGGTGACCTTTTCTGTGGAGCTGGGATGGTGATTCGTATGGTAACCTGACCCGAGACCTGATGACCTATCTATAGCCTGATGACGCAGGATTTATTATTGTGCATTTTAAATGCACATCTGGTGAGTGCGTTTTTTATCCATTCGTTTGGCTTGCACCTGTTGTCACTCCCGGATCAGGACGTCCACACACTTGGAATTGTGATCTTTGCTTGATCCACACAATTATATTGAACTAATTATATCACGATTAATCACATTAAGGTGATACCACTTATCCACATTTATTTGAAATGGCATGGCATTATGTATATTAAAATGTATTACCATTTAGCGCTGCACCAACTTATTTGAATACATATATACTATTGGAGGTTTTTCTTGGTTGCCTTTCGGTGTATCAGCTGCTTATTTACTTAATTCATTGTGTTTATATACATATATGTGTGTATGTATATGTATGTATGTGTGTGTGTATGTATATATATATATTACTTTTCGTTTTTTGGTAGCGCTCACTGAAATCTTTTTTATCAGATCCCCTGTATGCCTCTCTCTGCAGCAGCTAAAACCCAGCAGGGGGGAGAGGAGAAGGAGCCAGCTTTCAGCTGATGCAGAGAGAGCCATACAGGGGATCAGTTCCAGTAATTGCCCCCCTGCCATGCTGATCACCCAACTCACCCAGCGTCCTGGGCCCCCCTGCTGACCTGGGCCCCATAGAGGAGGACTGGGAGTACCCCCTTATCCATGGCCCTGTGTACAGGGACTACAAGTGGCTGTTACCGTGTCAAATTCAGGTACTTACACTTCTGGTATTTACCAAATACAAAATACCAAGACAGGTGCATTAATTAGCGCATTTTATATTTACCTACAGTCAGTGGTGTATTTAGGTTTTGTGCTGCCCTAGGCAACATAAAAATTGCCCCCCCCCCTGGCCCCCTGCCTACGGAGAGACCCTGACACCGACAGACACCGACCAACACCTCCTCCCCCACGAAGAGAGCCTGATATTGACAAACAACACCCCAGCCCCATCTGAGAGAGCCTTCTACTACCACCGCCCCCCATACACTGTGAACCCCCCCCCCCCCCCGCTCTGTCAAGAGAGAAGACACTCCCAGACATCCCCGGTAACAAGAGTCAGGCTCTGCATACACCATCAAGCAGCCCACAGCCTCTCTCAGTTCCCACCTTCTCCCCATGCTGCATGTGCCCCTGCTTCCATCCCTTTTTCAGGGGGGTGGCACTGCCCCCCTAAAAAATACTGCTGCCCCCCCTGAAAAATGCTGCCCTAGGCAAATGCCTTGTTTGCCTTGTGGTAAATACACCCCTGCCTACAGTTAGGCTTTAAGATTTAAAACGGTCTAAGAAACGTCTCTTATGTTATATATGCTTGTTAGTTGTAGTGCTTCAGAAATAGATCACAAGCTTACTAAATCTACAGTGTGGATGCAGACTTCATATACATGTGTTTATGTAGAGTAATGGAAGAGCTCCTGTCCCGGGATCAGTGCCAGATCATGTGCTGTTATAAGTTACAAACCAGTTTATCGGCGTATTTACTTGCAATGAAAAGGCAGAAACCTGAGATCTAATGTACACAACATAAAATTGGCTATGCTGCCTATTTCTGTAAATTATAATATGATTTCTTTAGGCACCTGTTAAAGAGTTTATAAGCACTTAGCTCTTATTTGTCTAAAATAAATCTTTCTTAAAGCGACTTAGTCACTGAAATAAAGCACATCTAAACTCGAAAACACAATGAAATATATAATAATGCAGCTTGCCAGTCCCTGAAGTGGTGGCTGCATTCATTTTCATTTATCAGACTAAGAACTTTTTCAGCAAGTACAGAAAATGCCTGTTGATCCTGCCAGAAATGCCATGTCCTTGTCACTTCAATCCCTCCACTGCCTTCCGATTACCCACCGAATTAAATTCAAAATACTAACCACAGTATACAAAGTCTTTCACAACATCCCCCGCCATATCACCAATCTTGTCTCCAAATATCACCCAAACTGTCCCCTCTGCTCCTTCCAAGACCTGCTCTCTAACTCTTTTGCTTCTTCCTTTCATTGTCGTCTCCAGGACTTCTCCAGAGCCTCTCCCATCCTATGAAACCCTCAACCCAATCTGTCTAGCTATCTCTTACTCTGTCCAATTTTAGGCGTTCCCTGAAAACGTATTTCTTTAGGGAAGCCTATCCTGCCTCCATCTAACAACTGAGTTTTTATCTCTTCCATCAGCTCATTCCCAACAGTTACGTTTTGTACCACTTACTCCACTTACCCCACCACTTACCCCACCCTATTATATTGTAAGCTCTTGTGAGCAGGACCGTCTTGTATGCAGTATTATTTAGGGATGCACCAATACCAGTACTCATTTTTTCTAGAAAAAAATAGGTGCAGGAACTCCTCCTTTCAGAGTCACCCATTGTCTTCTCCCCTACCCCACCTCGAAGCACCATTCCTTGGTTCCACCTCCTACCCACCTCCCAGTGTCGCCTCTTTTAGAGAATACAGAACCAAGTATCATTTTGTGGTGCTAAGTACTTTGTATGGAATTTGTTAATGATAACAAGAAAAGCAGGAATAATAGACCCCCCCCCCCCTCCAGCAACAATGAACGACCAGCAACTACCCCACAGCAACAATAGATCTCTGGAAGCAACAACCGATCTCCCTGCAGCCAGCATCAACAGACCCTGCAGCAGTCAGCAACAGTAGATCTCTCCCAGCAACAATTGACCGTAAGACCCACCCCCAGCTACAATGGACAGTGGATCCCTCACCAGCAACCATAGACCTCCATAGTAGCAGTAGACCCCCCCCTTGCAAAAATAGATATCTTCCAGCAACAATAGATTCCCCATTAGCCACCATCAATAGACCCTGCAGTACACCTCCGTACCCCTTGCCATTCCATACATCATACAGTGCTGGAGGTGCCAGAATTGCGTTCCCCCACATTCCCACAAAAAAAAAGCCCTGCTGCAGATTAGGGATGCACTGGAATTTCGGACACCGAAACATATCGGCCGAAAAAAAAGCCCTATCAGCATTTTGACGATAGGAAAAATGTAGCCAATACAGGTGCTGATACAGGCGACTGTGTGTACTGCAGATGTGAGGGGGGGGGGGGGGGTCAGTTGAGAGAGGCAGGCGAGGAGCAGTGTATACAGAGAGGCTCCCTCACTGGCTCTCGTTATATGTCAGTGCCGGTTTTTAAATGTAATTACTGGCTTTTTTTTTTCTTCACTATAGCTCAGAGAATGAGCTGTCACTTTCCCCCCAGCTAAAAGAAACAAAGTTTCCTTTTAGTTTATTTCTAGAGATAAAAGAAACAAAGTATCCTTTAGCTCCAGGGAAAGTGACAGCTAATTCTGTGAGCTATGGTGAAGAAGAAAAAAAGCTGGCAATTGCATTTAAAAACCGGCACTGACATATAGTGACAGCCAGTGAGAGAGCTTCTCTGTATACACTGCTACCACACTGTATACACTGCTCCTCTCCTTCCCCCTCCTTGCACACACTGCCTGAGTTTACACTATTGCGGATTTGCGGACCACGTTTGCGTGGACATGGCAGCCCATTCATTTGGTGGTATTTGATCACCATTGGGTTTTTCCTTTTTTTGCGCTATGAACGAAAAAGGATGAAAATGTTATATTTTTTACTTTTTGCTATAAAACACACCCAATAAAAAATGTAAAAAAAATAAATATTTGTGTGAAAAAAATGATATAAATTTCATTTGTGTACAGTGTTGCACGATCCCGCAATTGTCAGTTAAAGTAGCACAGCACTGTATGGCAAAAAATGGCCTGGTCATGAAAGGGGTAGATCTTCCAGTGGCAAGTGGTTAAACCAGTGTGCATGGAGCCTTAAAGTGAAACTCCAGACAATCCGCTAACTACATGTTGGAAATACATATACTGAATGTTTACTGTTTTACCTGACAACAGATTTGTAATTTTGGCCCACCATTGTTGTGATGCACACCCCTTTACTGGTTAATAAGACCCAGATCTGCACCCTGCTCCCTGGACAGAGGTGATGATGCAGGTGACCACAGACGCAGGCGTATTGCAGCTCTGGCAGGAGAGACAAATAAGTCTCGCTGTGTGTGTGTAAACAATCGACTACCCACCCCCCATGCAAACAACAAAGAAGCTCTGTGGTGTGGCTTGGCTTGTTCAAATAATCACATTCCTTTGTTATTTAACTCCTTGACGCCGATGTAACACAAATATACGGCCTCACAGAACTGGGCTTTTTTCCGTGGGGGGCTGCATATTTGCGTACCTGTCTTTCTGCTGGGAGCGTGCCGCACAGCGCGCTCCCAGCACAAAGACCGCAGTGTGACTGAGAGCCCCGGGTCCCATGATCGCTGTGATAGCCTCTGTTTGGCTATCACAGTGATCAGTCACTGTACAGCCCGGCTCCCTTGTGTTTTTTTTTTTTTTCCTCTCTATGAATGACACACTATCCTAGGTTTTTTGCATGGGCTGGGTGGAGGCCTTTTTAACCCCTTGACACTGATGTAACACAAATATGCAGCCTCACAGAACTGGACCTTTTTTCCGTGGGGGGGCCGCTCATTTGCGTACCTGTCTTTGTGCTGGGAGCACGCTGCACGGCGCACTTCCAGCATAAAGACTGCGGTGTCACTGAGAGCACCGGTGTCAGGAATGGACTTGCCAGTAATGGTGGGACTCACCTGCCTTGTGGGCTGCAGTACCAGGGCTGGCCAGCGGGTGCTCTCAGCAATCAGAGACTCAACCCTGCAGTCAGCCAAACACCTGAAGCTGATTACGGAGGTGTATTTAAGGGATGGCCAGACCTGCAGTCTGGGCCTTGGTGTGTGTTTTTCCATGGGCCCCTGTATCTTGTTACCTGCATTCCTGTTTCTGTTCCTGTTCCTGCCTGACTGACTCGTTGCCGACCCTGCCTAATGCTGACCTCTGCTGACGTCTCCTATTTGATCCCTGGCTTGTGACCCTGACCATTCTCTGCCTGACCCCCTGTACCTACCTGCTCGTTAGTTGCTGTACCCGGCTCGTGACCTGACTACTCTCTGCCTGCTCCTCCTGTTCCTACCTGCCCGATTGTTATTGACCCGGCCTGCCTGACTACGCTTGCATTGTATGTATTGTTATCTGTGGGTGGTTTGGTTTGGTTCGTTTGCACTGTGTTTATGTTTTAGTGTTGCACTGCGTTTTGTATTGTTAGTATTAATAAATTATATTGTTTATAACATATCTGAAGCCTGCGTTTCCCTGCGTCAGTTCACATACCTCTGGTCATACCTGGAGCCCTGACAACCGGGTCCCGTTCTAATGATCAGCTAGAAAATTTATTTTAGGTTCTTTGATGGTAGGTTATGGTAGTAACAAGAAACACACAGCTAAATTTAAAAAAATTTTTTTTTTACTATTTTGGGCCAGTTTTCCTTTTGATAATAAAAAAAAAAATCAGGAGATATCCATTACCATTTACCACCAAATGAAAGCCCAATTTGTCCTGAAAAAAACAAAGGTATAATTCACCTGGATGTACAAAGTAGTTGTGATGATAGGTACGGTTTTACTAACACATGTCAGTGGTGCAAATTTGTGCTTAGGCATTTAGATTTTTTACCCTTAGGCGTGAAGGGGTTAAGGTAATCAGACCTTGTCCTCGTATAGCCCAAGGCTTGGAGGCATTTTTAAACATTTGTGAGGCCAACATTAATAAGGAAATATATCGTTTCCAATTTCCCAATCCGTTGCCCATGTTGGAGCAGTGTTTACATGTTGCGTGATCGGGTTCGCATTCATAACTGTTTTGTTTTCTTTGTTTTATTCCACATTTTGATAACAATTGACTTTGTATTAGCAGACATCTTTGCCTTCTCTTGTAGTTGGAGGAATGGTGGTTGAACGCTGCATACCTCGAAGTTCGGATGCCTTCTCAACTCTATGTCAATTTTGGAGGTCCCGCTCCCTACCTAGAACATTACTGGCCCCCCAAGCTTGGCACCCAGCTGGAGAGAGGCTGCATAGCTGCGTGGTACACACTGAAATTCTGGGACCTCATTAGAAGGTGGGCATTTCAATCGTACCAAGGTTTTTGTTCTTTTATGTAGTGCATAGAACCAAATTTCAAATCTTTATAAACCAGCCTAAGGGCCCGTGTCCACGAACTTTGGGCTTTTTTCAATGGCTTTAGTCTGAAATCTGTTTGAGACACTTGTGAGATTATTCTGAAATTACTGGTTCATGTAACCTGTAGATGATCTGTGTTGGACCTTTTTCAAGTGGGTCTTGCCTTCCCATAGATTTGTATTGGAATGCAAAACCTGCTTGTTGCTGTCAACACAGGCCATCAAGACTCAAGTAAAAATAACTAACTGTTTTTGAAAATAGGTATGCTTATAATAACGTGTTGGCTATGTTATATTTTATTATCTAGAGTAGCATAGTTCCCTGCCCCAGAGATTTATTTATTGGCTCATTCTGTGCACCCAGTTCATGCCCAGTGGTCTAAAGTGCCTGCTGTCTTCCTAGGTGCCTCTAGAAGCCCTCAGCTGTGCCCAGTTGCTGCCTTTAGAAGAGATCACACTCTTCTTGTTGCAATCTGCATTCACTTAAAGGCTAAGTTCACCTGTTCCAGAAAACAGCCTATGCAGTCAACGGGCCCCAGTAGATTTAAAAAAGTGGCAGTTTTGTTTTTTTTTAGATGTTCAATCATATTGTCATACCTGCCGCCCATTGCCCAACCCCCCTCCCCCAGAAGTCTTGCTGAAAAACTCCCAGTTAGTAATCCCCACGTCCTGTCTTGTTGCTAGGGCGTGAAAATTGTTGGACACTCACTCCCAACCAGGGGCGGACTGACAACTCATGGGGCCCCCAGGCAATAGGGGATCATGGGGCCCCTGTGTCCTTACCCAAACTCAAAAAAGCCTATGAAAAAGGTACCAGGGGCATCTCATGGGGCACCCTACTGACCCCGGGCCCTTGGGCAGTGCCCGAGTTTCCATTTACCCTCCAGAGGATTTACCTCCCTTCCTGCCTAGGCCATTTTTTGCGTTACGGCGCTGCGTTACTTTAACTGACAATTGCGCGGTCATGAAATGCCGTACCCAGATGAAATTTATGTCCTTCTTTTCCCACGAATTAAGCTTTCTTTCAGTGGTATTTGATTGCCTATGCGTTTTTATTCTTTTTTGCGCTGTAAGCAAAAAATGACAATTTTGAGAAAAAAAATATATTTTGGACTTTTTGCTATTAAACATGTCTAGTAAAAAAAATTTAAAAAAATCTAATTTCATCATAAATTTAGGCCAAACTGTATTCTGCTACATGTCTTTGCTAAAAAAAAAATCCCAATACATGTAAATTAATTGGTTTACGTAAAAGTTATAGCGTTTACAAATGGCTGTGATTTTTTTTTTTTCCCCCCTACTAGTAATGGCGGCAATCAGTGACTTATAGCGGGACTGCGGTGGGCATTCTGACACTGGGGGGAACTAACTTGGTGTCACTGAAATCCCCAGTGACACCAATACAGTGATCAGTGTTAAAAAACAGCCCTGACACTGTACTAATTACACTGGGCAAAAAGAAGTTAATGTGAGGGGTGATCAAAGAGCTAACCATGTGTAAGGAGTGCTTTGATGGTCGCCAATCACCGGGCGATGGCGGGTAATCACCGGCCAGGACCCGGTGATTGACATTCGTGGCCGCAAACGGCGGTGTGGGTATGCAAAATCACGTGATATACACGTGGTTTTGCGCACCCGTGCCGCCGTGTAGCAGTATATCTGTTATATGGCTGTAGGTAAGCGGTTAATACACAGCCAAGCACTGGCGCCACTACTAACTAGTATATACTTGTCAAACACGGAACTCTGACATTCAGCTTGAAATCAAAGATGGCCACAGGATGATGTCATGCCCATAGCCCCACCCCCATATGTGTTATGTCCAAGGCGGGGACTTTTTCATTAGCTGTATGTAGGCGTTCTGTTTCACACGTGTTAGCACTGCCGGCAGTGCTTGGCTGTGTAAGTGCAATACTTCTTTAATTATTAAAAAGTATCTATACCGAGAGCATTTGATTCTGTGTGCTTCCCTCTCCTTCCATTTTTTTATATTGAGTATTCTTGAATTAGGGAAGTGTGGTGTATCCCATCTGGAGGAGAAAATAATGAGGACCTGATATACACTAATCAGAGTTATCATCATCCCTATGGGGAACACTGCAGGCTGTGACCTTTTTTAATGCAGGGGTCAAGGCTTTGAGGTGAGAGGCTCATCTATATGGTGGTGGAGACACGGCGCATGTTTATTTATCCTTTGGAGCACAGTGTCACAGTGCTGATTACAAGAACAATATTGCAACATTAATTCAGGACTTTATATATGTTGGGGTTTTGATTCTATATTTTGGTGCACGTTAGATGTACACAGTGGATTAACACATTATTTACCACTGTTTTCTTATTTTATGTTTAGTTGTTTGTTTTATATTTTGTGTTTAGACAATATTTTGTAGCTAATGTTGCTCTGCCCTAATTTTGGAAATTATTCATATAAATTGAGTGTGGTGATTTCACTTAATTATGTAAATGGATCAAACCACGCAAATCTCCAATCACCTTATTTCACAAAGCTGCAAATATTAAAGAGGATATCCTCTCTTTACAAAAAACCTGATTAAATATTGCGCTATGTGAAAAAATAAACTTCATACAACATGCATGTGCACTATGAAGACACTCATACCTATGAAAGGTGATCAAAAACAAACAAATAAATAATACTGTGCAAATTACAATAATCACATGTATACATAGGAAAACTGTGAAATGTGATCAAATCAACAAAACAGTGACATATAGTCCATGTAAACATATAATAAAGTCCATATAAGGATAAAGACTCCACAATCCGTGATAACGCTGTAAATCGATGCTGTAGGTGCAATATGGGTAATCTTCCTTCAGATATTCACCAAGGTGTGTACCACCACCAAATAATTAAATGGAGGCTTACCAGAAATGGAGACCCCTTAATTATAGGGGGTCTCAACCAGCATTGCAATGTGAGATATTAGCAGGTTCTCCATGCCATACCCGGAACGGGGATCTTCCAAACCTCCAAACCCAAATGTGAACTCGAAAAACGGTCCCAGATAAGGTCATAAAAGAAAGAACATGCCTCTCATAGTGTAGCAAACTCCTTTATTTGTGCAAGTAAAATCCTTCTTACAAGCTGTAGAACAATTAAAAGGATTCAAAAAGACTGCTTCCAAGATGGCTGACTGCGCAATGACGTCAGAGGGAGGTCTTTCATGACCTTATCTGAAACTGTTTTTCGAGTTGACATTTGGGTTTGGAGGTTTGGAAGATCCCTATTCTGGGTATAGCATGGAGAACCTGCTAATATTTCACAATGACAATACCGTTTACTGAAATCAAAAATATGGAGGGGTATCCACATACGTTTTGCCATAAAGAAAGATATGATTCTCAGGTATCCACAAACTTTATGCCTGAGAGTGCAAAACTACATCTTGGATGACCTAAGGTAGTGGTCTCCAAACTGCGGTCTGAACGGCAGATGCAGCTCATTACTTACATTTATCTGATCCTTGAGACACTGTTCCTCTCCCAATAGTGGGGCATAATTCCTGCAACTGACACCATCAATGGGCATCATTTCTGCCAATATCACCAATAGCAGGACTCTACTGTATTCCTCCCACTAACGCCAACAATGGCACATAATTCCTGCCACTGACACCAATTATGAGGCACTATTTCTGCCACTGATACCACTGATGGGACACTATTCCATTGACATCAAAGATGGGGCACCTTTCCTCCTACTGACACCAATGATGGGATACTAGTCCTCTAATTACCACCAACAGTGGGGTACTATTCCTCCCATTGACATCAACGATGGAGCACTATTCCTCATACCAGAGATGGGGCATTGTTTGCTCCCATTGATGCCAGAACATTTTCTACTTTCAGTGGCCACAATTCGGCCCCCCTAAAGTCTGAAGAACAGTAAACTGACCCTTTGTTTGGAAAGTTTGGAGGCCCATTTACCTAAGGGTTTTTGGGTTTTGAGGTCTGGTAGTCTTTCTTTTTAACCTCAACTGGGCTGCAGGTTGCGTAGCCTTGTCCAAAAATAAACAATTTGGTCTTTGATATTTATTGGATAAAAATAAAAGTATTTCCTGTGGTCTGTGTCTTTTCCAGAGAGAAGTTGGGGGTGCACAAGTCTGGTAATAGACCACTGGATATGCACCAATTTCATTATCTCTATAACACTTGTAAGATCCCAGGTGTCACCCGAGACTCAATTGTCAATTACTTTAAGACTGGTAAGTACAATTATTATTATTATTTTTATTATTATACAGGATTTATATAGCGCCAACAGTTTTCTCAGCACTTTACAATATAACGGGAAGACAATACAGCAACAATACAGTTCAATACAAGAGGGTTAGGAGGGCCCTGCTCCTTGGAGCTTACAATCTAATAGATTTTAACATGTTGTGAAGGAAATTTTCATGTTCAATTGAGTTTTTTTAAGGGGTGAATAAGTACAGTTGACAATAAATTGACAATTTAAAATTGACATACAAATCTCATGAGTTAACAGAAGCGAATAAAAATGGTATCACTTGTATTGGTAACAGAAATAAAAACGAATGTGATGCAGTAAGGGAATGATTACCCACAAAGGACTATGTGGGGAACACTAAGGGTTGATCAAAAAAGAGAAATTTTAAATTCTGTATAAACATTTATTTCATTTTGTATGATTTGTCTACTGCAGCCAATGTCCATGGCAATATACTAACACGTGCGCACCTTCCTAAGACCCTAATAAGAAACTAGCCAGCTTATGTGCTGCTTCAGCTTCAGCTACTCCCCTTGTTTACCATAAAAATACATTTGTAGTATTGATGTGATACCTATGTAAACCTGGTTATAACGAAAAACAAAATGCGCTGAATAAACAAAATAGGTATTTGGAAAGATCCTGGGTGTATCTTTTTATGTCTGATCAGTATTAAGATAGACGTTGCCTATCTATAAAATTTCCAAGACAATGGGGGAGATTTAATAAAATGGTGCACTCAGAATCTGGTTCAACTGTGCAACTTCTAACCTCAACTTATTCAATCAAGCGCTGACAGTAATACCTGGAGGGTGATTGGTTCCTATGCAGAGTTGCACCTGACTTTTCACCCTCCAGATTTAGTAAATAACCCCCAGTGTCTTTTACTATTACTAAGTACACCTTACGTTTACTGTTTAAAAGCAAGGTATAGCGGTTCTGTATGTTTTCTTTCTCCTTATGTTCTTTATGGATACTATGGACTAACAATTTTTATTAATTTTGTGTTTAGACTGGTAAATATTAAAGTGACATTAAACCTTTGTTGTTTTTTTTTTTTTTAACTACTACAATAACAAATATGGTATACTTACCTGCTCTGTGCAATCCGGATCCTCTTCTTGTGGGGTTCCCTGAAGAGCTCCTCCTCTTTGGCAGGTGCCCCCATAGAAAGCCGCTATCCATGGAGGCACCTGTGCGTGCTTGCTCCCAAGCCACCCGGTCTTCGTTCATTGACACAAAGCGGGCAGCTCAGCCCCGCCCCCTGCTGGCTCAGCACAGCACTTGATTGACAGCAGCGGGAGCCAATGGTTTCCACTGCTATCAATCTGCCCAGGGAGGAGGGAGACAGCAGCAAGAGCCACTGCTGTCGTGCCCATTGCTGTTTTTTCACCTTAATGCATAGAAGGCTTTAGAACCAGTTTAAATACTACATGTTAATTTATTTTATATTCTTTTCTCTAAGCAGCATATAGATTTCTTGTCTTTTTATGTATTTTTTTGACCATCCTTATCTGCTTTGTGGGAAATGCCAGTTATTTATAGAGCTCAGAAGCTCAAGCTGAAATTTGACACAAACAACTGAATAAGTCAGAGCAGTGACTCCTCTCCTTCACTCCTGCTTGCTCTGTTCAGACAGAACCATACAAAGTAAATTTTCTGACATTATAATCCCCACCTTCCCAATTTCAGGTATTAAATTTTCTAGGGGCTGCAAAAAATTTCTCCTTATCCCTTGTGTTGTAGAAAACCATTCTGCATAAGTGGATTTACCTGAAACCTGCTGTCTTTGTCTATAGACACACTACAGGTGAATCTCAAAAAATTAGAATATCGTGCAAAAGTTCATTTATTTCAGTAATGCAACTTAAAAGGTGAAACTATATTGTGAAAAGGTGCAATATTCTCGGCTCAAAGTGTCCCACTCTAATCAGCTAATTAAGCCATAACACCTGCAAAGGGTTCCCGAGCCTTTAAATGGTCTCTCAGTCTGGTTCAGTAGGAATCACAATCATGGGAAAGACTGCTGACCTGACAGTTGTGCAGAAAACCATCATTGACACCCTCCATAAAGGAGGGAAAGCCTCAAAAGGTAATTGCAAACAAAGTTGGATGTTCCCAAAGTGCTGTATCAAAGCACATTAATAGAAAGTTATGTGGAAGGGAAAAGTGTGGAAGAAAAAGGTGCACAAGCAGCAGGGATGACCGCAGCCTGGAGAGGACTGTCAGGAAAAGGCCATTCAAAAGTGTTGGGGACTTTCACAAGGAGTGGACTGAGGCTGGAGTCAGTGCATCAAGAGCCACCACACACAGACGGATCCTGGACATGGGCTTCAAATGTTGTATTCCTCTTGTCAAGCCGCTCCTGAACAACAAACGACGTCAGAAGCGTCTTACTTGGGCAAAAGAAAAACAGACCTGGTCTGTTGCTCAGTGGTCCAAAGTCCTCTTTTCTGATGAGAGCAACTTTTGCATCTCATTTGGAAACCAAGGACCCAGAGTATGGAGGAAGAATGGAGAGGCACACACTGCAAGATGCTTGAAGTCCAGTGTGAAGTTTCCACAGTCTGTGTTGATTTGGGGAGCCATGTCATCTGCTGGTGTTGGTCCACTGTGCTTCATTAAGTCCAGGGTCAACGCAGCCGTCTACCAGGAGATTTTGGAGCACTTCATGCTTCCTTCCGCAGACGAGCTTTATGGGGATGCTGACTTCATTTTCCAGCAGGACATGGCACCTGCCCACACTGCCAAAAGCACCAAAACCTGGTTTTATGACCGTGGGATTACTGTGCTTTATTGGCCAGCAAACTTGCCTGATCTGAACCCCATAGAGAATCTATGGGGCATTGCCAAGAGAAAGATGAGACATGAGACCGAACAATGCAGAAGAGCTGAAGGCCGCTATTGAAGCATCCTGGTCTTCCATAACACCTCAGGAGTGCCACAGGCTGATAGCTTCCATGCCACACCGCATTGAGGCAGTAATTGCTGCAAAAGGGGCCCAAACCAAGTACTGAGTACATATGCATGCTTATACTTTTCAGAGGTGCGATATTGTTCTATGTACAATCCTTGTTTTATTGATTGCATGTACTATTCTAATTTTCTGAGATTGTGGATTTGGGGTTTTCATGAGCTGTAAGCCATAATCATCACAATTATGACAAATCACGGCTTGAACTATCTTGCTTTGCATGTAATGAGTCTATCTCATATATTAGTTTCACCTTTTAAGTTGCATTACTGAAATAAATGAACTTTTGCACGATATTCTAATTTTTTGAGTTTCACCTGTATCCTAGGTTTTTCGCATGGGCTGGGTGAGGCCTCTTTAACCTCTTGATGCCGACCCAGCATAAGGACTGCGGTGTCACCGATTCCGAGTTACATGATCACTGTGATAGCCTCTGATTGGCTATCACAGTGATCAGTCACTGTACAGCCCGGCCCCCCCCCCCTTTTTTTTTTTTTTTTTTCTATGAATGGAGGAGAGAGATACATTGTATCTCTCTAACTCCTGGCACAAAGGGAAAAAAATGTTTGTAAAAAAATAAAAAAAATAAATATTAAAAAATAAAGAAAAATTACCTAGATCAAGGTTTGATCTAGTTCAGTTCCAGGGTAAGTGTTTGGGTCAGGGTCACAGGTCAAAGTCAGGGTCAAAGGTCAGCATTTAAAAAAAAATTGCTGTCAGTGTGTTTTAGGTAACAAAAAAAGGCAAAAACAAAATGCGCACTATTGTTTTTGGGCTGTACTACGGGCACAAACAACAAATAACATACGCCTATGTGGTATCGCTGCAATCGTCAAGAGCTGGAGAATTTATTTTGGCATGTTGTTTGGTGGTAGGTTATGGTAGTAACAAGAAACACACAGCTAAATAAATTTAAAAAAATGATTTTTGTATTTTTTTTTTTTACTAATTTGGGCTAGTTTTCCTTTGATAATAACAAAAAAAAAAATCAGATATCCATTACGGTTTACCACCAAATAAAAGCCCAATTTGTCCTGAAGAAAAAACGTGGTATAATTCACCTGGATGTACAAAGTAGTTGTGATGATATGTACGGTTTTACGAATACATGTCAACGTTGCAAAACTGTGCTTAGGCATTTAGATTTGTTTTACCCTTAGGCGTGAAGGGGTTAAGGAATTACAGGCCCAAAATGCTTTTGACGTTTGGAAATCTTTTATTGAAACTTTTCCCATAGATACCCAACAATCTTTAATGCTATATTTTCAATATCCCTAATGGTATCAACTCAGATTCTTAATCAAAGACCCCCAACCGATGCTCTGCCTTCCATTCAAACCAAATGAAACCTCCTAATCTAATGACTGAGGCCTTCTCTCCTTTCTTTCACTTGTTAGACCAACCACCATCCATTCAAGCATTTATTAATCTGTATCCCTAGTCTAAGCATTGCCAGTTGATTTCTATACTAACAAACTGTTTAGTATATTTCCTGCATTGTCTTGTCAGCCAAATGTTGTGGCCATTTTTCTTGTTAACTGCATTCTTGCATCAAAATAAAATTATTTAAAAAATGGTGGAAGCAGATGTCTGACAGGACGGGTCAGAGGCAGAGTGGCAAACAATTGCTTTCCAAGCTTTTTATTATAAGTACGTTAATATGTTTCACTAGAGATTTTAATGGCGTTGGCCGCGTAAGCCAGCGCTGCAGCTGTAGAGCAGGTGCAACTTGGCATCATTCATTCGATTGGGTCATGTTTCGCGGGTGGTACTGCCCGCTGAATGGAATGTGGGTTAGAATTTTGGCTGAGGAGCCAATATCACAGGCCCAGCAAGTGGTACAACCCTGTTGTGGTTGAGGGACGATAAACACGTGGCCCCACTACCTATTTTTACATCCCCTTCCACCCCACCTTTTCCCTGGCTGTAGATGTGAACAAGACCTTAAGGTCCTCAAGAGCTATGGGAAGTTAGTTTTTTGATGGACCAGGCTGTGGGCCTTCCATTACTGAAATATGTAAATGTGAGAATTTTATGCTTTATTCCAGAAAGTGAAGGCAACTGCCCCACCCACCTGATTGTCTTGTGTCGGGGGAGAATTTTCACCTTCGAAGCTGTCATTGATGGCCAAATCCTCTCCCCACCAGAGATACTAAGGTAATTCATTGGCTCCTGTTTAAATTGGCCCTAGTACGTGTATGTATGAATGTGAGTTAGGGACCTTAGATTGTACACCCCTTGAGGGTTAGGGAGTGATGTGAATGTACAATATATATATATATATATATATATATATATATATATATATATATACTGTATGTAAAAGGGCTGCGTAACAATTGACGGTGCTATACAAGTACCTGTAATAAATAAATAAATATTCTTATCCTGCATTTTCCAGACATGCTCCCAACACTGCCCAATTCCTAACTGCAGCCTGGTGGACAGTTTAGTTGGGGTATATGCACTGTGTGGCCAAAAGTTGGATGGTGTGACACAAGGCATCAAGTAAGGATAAATCTCAGCAGGGACACAGACAGCATTTAAACCTGACAGAATTACCATTTCTTCCCCCATTCAATCCAGAAAGAGAAAACTAAATATTTTCACAGGAATTAAGCATTAACCCTTCCTATCCAGGCCATTTTTCAGTACTGTGATAGTTTGACTGACAACTTCTAAATCGTGCAACACTGGACCCAAATGAACTTGGTGGTTTATTTTACTTTTTATTATATAAATTTAAAAAAAAACTCTTTCCCTTACTTTTTAGTATAAAACGTTTTCAAAATGAAGAAGCGTGCTCATACTGAGTTGGTTAAACAATATAAATTAAGGGGTGCTTAGCTTTTAAGCACTAAAGTAAAGTACAAGTCTTCCTCTACTAGTGGGAATTCTTTTATGGTGAAATTGCATTGTGTGCACTGAGTAGACATCATGGTTATACCTAAAATGCTTTAAATGGCCCCAAAACATTCCCACAATTATTGGTGGTCAGGGGCAATTTTAACACCCTCCCCCCCAAAGCAGTCTCACAGTCATTGGGGTCATTGGTGGTTAGCAACACTTTTATATCAAGCACAAAAGTGGTGGTCAGTCACATTTTAAAACCCTCCTCCCCCATCATTGATGATCGCTGGCATTTTAATTCCCCTGACTCTTCCCCCCCCCCCGTTCCCAAAACAATTGTGCAACAATGGTGGTCAATGACTGGCCCTTTTGTTGAAACCCCCCTCCCTATCCAATTGCAATCATCATAGCCTTCTCTGCTCAAGCCAGGAGAATTTAGTGAATGGATTTAAATAAATCCTCCTTCTTCCCTTCTTCACTCTTACTTGTTTACATTGGTGATCACGTAAATTGTGACATCACCCATCTGCCTCTCCACCTTTGCCAATCAGAGGAAGCCTTGTTCATTGATAAAAAATTAGTGGCCACATCGGTGTGTAAGTACCCACATAGTTTGTTTGGGCCAGGTTGGTACAAATTCACAATTTAAAGTCATAGTAAAATTCTAGAGAGAGAATTCTGCTTAAGTACAGTCAATAGGTGTTGAGTTCCATTCTGGTACTTTTCTACATATTCCCAATGCTGCAGAATTACAGTTTAATAATTGACATGCACAGCAATAGAATATTACATATTCAGAGTAATAACACGTATGTTTAGTTTCAGTGAAACATGCTTAAATATGTACTAATTGGTTGCAATGAACAAAATAAATTCTAATTTCTTCCATTTTGTGAACAAGCCCCCTAGATGTTTGTTGTCCTTTTTTAGGCAGCTCCGTTATGTTCAGTACATATGCCAAAGTCAACGTGATGGGATTGGGCTTTCCGCTTTGACCACAGAGGAGAGGACCCGCTGGGCTCTGGTTGGTAAACATATAATGCATTTCTCAAAAGTTTCTTTGCTATGTGTTGGTGTTTTACCATGTCTCCATTGCTGTGGTCTCCTTCTAGTCTCGAGAGCACCTCATTAGTCTAGACCCAAAGAATCTGTCTCATCTTGAGCGGATCCAGAGCAGCCTGTTCATTGTGTCTATTGATGAAGACAGCCCACACGGAACACCTGAAGATTACAGCCAGGTAAGAAAATATTGTTTGGGAACCTTCTGTAACCCTGCTGCTGTTCACGACTGAGGGCCTCTGTGGGCTTCATCTATCTCCTACCAGCTGATCTTCTCCCCATTACTAACTTATTTTGCCTTGTTCTATGCTCTTTTGCCCCTGACGACTGGTGGAATAAGCAGCAGGAGAGGTGGAGGACACACAGATCTACTGAATAAATTAAGTAGTAGCGTGGAAATTGTTGCGCTGCAGGTCCTCTGGTACAGCTTCCTCTCCAGCAAGGAGAACAGGGAGCCAGAGCACAGAAAAAACATTCCAGATTTAATGAGACTATGAGTCAGAGGCACAGTATCTTAGATGATCCCACTCTGAATATATACAGCTATGAGGCACAAAGGTACATGGGTACCTAAACAGAAAATGCACTGCTAGTTTTCAGGAGGAATTGAAGACAACAGGTACAATTTTTGGGGTACTGTTTAGGTAGAATTAAAGTATAATTAAAGGCAAATGTTTTTTTTTGTAGTTTTAGAGTGTAGTGGGATTAGAACACCTGTCAGTTTTTATTGCTGTCTGTGCCCCCGTTAGTTGTCCTGTTTACCATTATCATCGAAAGTGAAAATAAAAGAAAATCCCAAATTTTGAGCTGTCTCCAGAAAAGTAATAGAGGAGAAATCTTCCATTGGGGGACACTATTTCTGGTGACCTGTGAGTCCCCAAGGAATTCCCTTTAATTTACAGGGATGTCTTCTCACATCCTGTTTGCCTATGGAACAGGAAGTGAAGGAAAGTCTCCGCAATGGGACACAGATGGCAGAAAAAAAAATCTGGCAGATATTATAACCCTCACTTGCTCTATCCAAAATGAAAAATAGTTTTGCCTGTAGTTCTACTTTACCATCTTTAGATGTTCTTTACAAGACAGCAAATATGCACTTTTAGGTTCAGGCCCACCTTAAATGTCTTATTTAAACTATATTGGTTGATTAATGCCATGTAAGATAACCCATGGACTTTGTTCATATATAGTACACACCTGCATTCTTGTTATTTTTTGATAAGATAAGTGTTACAGCCCTATGATCCTATAACTCATTGACATATTTTTTTTCATAAAACCCATTCAGTTATAGCTCTGGGAGAATAGCTGTGAAATGGAAGGGAGACCCCAGAGTCCCATGCATAGGGAAGGGAAGAAAAAAGGGGGAGTTGCCTAAAACATCCAGTTAGTTATTTCTTGTCCTTTTCAATTTGCTGGTAAAATCTCATCTGTAATGATATTGATTTTTGTGGGTTAGACAAACA